AAAAGTTGAAGACCGCCACTTTAAGCCTCAATCTCGAGAAAGCCAACCTGCCCTACCTCTCCAATTCACACTTTCGTTCTTTAAACAGTCCTTCCATGGGCTACACCAAGTAAAGGACACTGGCCACAGGGGCCACACTGCCTAGGACCATTGCTGTGTGTCCTCGGGCAAACGCTTCACTTCTCTACACATCAATTTCCTTACCTATAAAATGGGGATAATAATAGTACTTTGTATTTCCCTCGGTTCAGGATTAAGTAAAGGAACAGCGTCTGCACGTCGTTAAGCACTCAATCCACGTCAGGAGCTATGCCCGCTGCTAAAGGCACCTTTCTCAGCACCCTGAGGCACCTGCTCGGCCCCCCCCCTCCCCCAGGAGAGCCGAGCAAGGCTCTAACGCAGGAGGAGGCAGCAAGTGAGGACAATCTCGCCCCCTGCCAGGGAAGCAGAGTGGCAGCAAAAAGCCCTCCCCACCGCACCAAACCCCTCTCTCCCTCCGCCCCTCCCGTCGTCGAGGACACCAGACACCGTGCAATGGCCTTCACTCAAAATATGGCCTAAACCGGGGGCACCGTTCTAGAGGCATTTTTTTTTTTTTTTTTAAAGATCAGCTGTACCTCCTGCTGATGTTGAAGGTTTATTTTTTATTTTTTTTAAAGATTTTATTTATTTATTTGCGAGAGAGAGAATGAGAGACAGAGAGCACGAGAGGGAGGAGGGTCAGAGGGAGAAGCAGACTCCCTGCCGAGCAGGGAGCCCGATGCGGGACTTGATCCCGGGACTCCAGGATCATGACCTGAGCCGAGGGCAGTCGCTTAACCAAATGAGCCACCCAGGCGCCCGTCTTTTTTTTTTTTTTTAAGATGTTATTTATTTATTCGAGAGAGAGAGAACGCATACACAAGCTGGGGGAGGGGCAGAGGGAGAAGCAGACTCCCTGCCGAGCAGGAAGCCCGATGCGGGACTTGATCCCGGGACTCCAGGATCATGACCTGAGCCGAAGGCAGTCGCTTAACCAACTGAGCCACCCAGGCACCCTAGAGGCATTATTAATGGCACGTATCAGCAGCCCAGTCACAGGCTGCTGGGGCACCAACAGTGCCCAGAAACCACTGCCTGAAAAAAAAAAAAAACACGACATTTTCTAATGTGTATGTGAAAGGAGAGTGAAGTGTAGTATGTTGTGTTTTTAGGCGACAGAGATGGAAAAAAGCCCCTGGAAGCTTACGGTGCAGAGACCTTAGGAGCAAGAGACTCGGGGCCTCACGCTAGTGGTTGCCATGGCAACCATATTTCACAGCAGGAACTCATTTTCATATGACAGTGACCTGCAGAGGGAAGGAAGGACTAGGAAACTTCTTTCGATGAAGGAGGTTCAGTTTGGGGGGGAGCTGGGATTGATTTTCTTGACCAAAAAAAAAGGCAGGTAAAAGTGCCTTAAGGGACAGACATGACCCGAACCACCTGAGGGCCCTGCAGGGTTCTCTGTACCACAACTTTTACTTAAGACACACACACACACACACACACACACACACACACGCCCTGTTTCTAAGGCCTCAGGGCAGATGTCACAGCCTCCCTGAGTCACTTGCCCCACCATTAACCATCTGTTCTGTTACAGTCTTTCCCTGGAGTCCCAAAGCAACCAGCTGACCAAGCCACCGGCCCAGCCCCTGCACCTGGGCCAGGTGCCAAGAGGACACATAACACTCCTTGGGCTGAAGCACAGGCTTCCCTGAACAGCAAATCCTAGCACTGAAAACATCTTGGTAGTCAGGCGGACTGGAGTTCCAACCTGTGCCCGGCCCGCTCACAAGCTGTGTGATGGAGGCAAGTCCCTCAAGCTCTCTGGCTTGGTGTCCTCATGGGCAGGACGAGACAATAATTGCAGCAGTCATCCCTCTGGGCATCAGGAGGATCACACATACACAAGGGAGTGCCTGGAAAGATCAGCACACTGCCCCGCTCCTAACGACCACTCAATAAATAGCTGCTACCGTTAAGGGCCGGAAAAGCATCTCTCACAACCAGAGGCTGAAGGCAGAGAACACAGTATTCAATTGGGTGGCACACACGGTAATGAATCCATTAATAACCCAGCAGGAGTGTAGACGGATGGGGATCCAGAAGACTGGAAGAGTCTAGGACAGAGGTGCAGTTTCAGCCAGACTCTGAAGGCTAACAGGAAGGTATTCGCGGATGTCTAGGAGTGGGAACTCCTTTCTTGAGTGCTTGCAGGGGGCCCGGGTCCTGGGGATCCAGAAGGGGAACACGCTTCAAGGGCCCAAAGGCCAGAGATCAGCAGCAGACAGCTGCACCAGGGCATGATGAAGAGGGAAAGCCAAGAAAAGGGCCCCGAGTGCAGCCAGAAAGGTCACAAAGCTTTCCCAGGGCAACAGCGACCGAGCGTGAACCCAGAGAGTAAGGGCAAAGGGGATGACTGCGGTAGGGAGGGAAGAAGCTGCAGGCCTGGAAATTGGTTTGGGAGAGTGAGGCCCCATGAATGAGGAGCCTTCAACTGGGGGGGGGGGGGGCGCTCGGCTTTGTGTGGGAGGAATGCGGAGCCTCTGAAGATTGCTCAGGGGAGGAGGGTCAGCCACTGGGCAAAAGCAGGAGTCAGGGACCATCAGTCTACCGGTGACCTGATAGATGGACTGCAGAGGCTGGACGGGATGCTGGCACCAGACCAGCGGAAGGGCCTCGGAGCCCTCCTGAGATGTTCGAGGCCTGCACTAGTAGTTCACAGAGGGGTGGCGAGAGGTAGAGACACTTCAGGGAAAAGGGAGTATAACCTAGGAGGGAACCCCACTGCTGAGGAGCAAGTGAGAGCATCTGCCTCGGAGGAGGAGGCCAGACTCGCATGTTTGGTTGGGGTGTCACTCGGACATCCAGGGGGCCGGGACTGATGCTAGAAGCCAGAGAGGCGGGCTGCCCTGAAGGGCTCCTGAAGAAAGCCCCTGCAAAGCTAAACACAGCATCTCAAAACACATCCCGCTAGGGGCGCCTGGGTGGCTCAGTCAGTTAAGTGTCTGCCTTCCGTTCAGGTCACGATCTCAGGGTCCTGGGATCAAGCCCGGCATCGAGCCCGGCATCGGGCTCCCTGCTCAGCAGAGAGCCTACTTCTCCCTCTCCCTCTGCCTGCCGCTCTATCTACTTGTGCTCTCTCTCTCTGTCAAATAAATAAAACCGTAAAAAAAAAAAAAAAAAAGAAAATATTACTTCATTATTAAAAAAAAATCCCTCTGAGGGGAGAAGAGGGGTCCAAAGAGAAAGAACAATGGAGAAAAGCCAAACCAGGAGAGCGGGGTGCCCCAGAAATCACATCAAAGAAGGCTGCAGAGAAGACACACGCACACAGGCATCCGCTCCCCAGGCAGAAGGACGAGGCCAGCAAAAGAGCAGTGTTTGGAAACAAGATGACTTTCAGGAAAGCAGTTTCAGCAGAGGGGTGGTGGGGCCAGGCTGTGCCAGGCTGCGGAGGATTAAAAGGGGAGGCAGGCAGCAGGTGCAGAGCACTTGTCTGGAAAATATGACAGTGAGAGAAGAGGAAATGAAGCTTAGGCCTCTGATGCATGATTCCCCCTGCCAAGAGATGGGAGGGCAAGTGGATGTCACAGGCAGGAGGGGGCATGGAGACCCCGGTAAGGGCACATTCGTTCAAGGTGGAGGGAAGGGAAGGGGCAGAGACTGGACCGCAGCCCTGGCTCTGCTAGTGCTCTTACCAGGGTGCCCAGGGCCACCCCTGATTCCCCAGCCCCCAGCAGCTGGGAAGATCAAAGATTCCCATGGAGCAGCACAGGTGGAACCTGATCATTCACCAGAATCCCTCTGGCCCTGATCTGAGGCTAGGTTTCCACCTTCTGCATCACACCTCTCCCTAGAATGACGTCGGGGGAAGGAATTGGAGGGGGGGGGGGGTGGTTACAGACCACCCAGATGGGAAACTCAGGTCCTCAGCCTTCCCAGCAGCCAGGAAGGAGACAGAAGTCTCAGACCTCCCAGCACAGCCCTTGCTGAAGCCCAAGAAAGGGGGCTTCAGCCCCAAAAGCGCAAGTGTCATGGGCACTACTAGGCACCCCGGATGGATTTCAACACTTCTTCAAGTCTTCTGCCTGGGAAAAACAGGTGGGCCTGATGGCTAGGAGTGGGTTTCCCGAGGGCTAGAAAACAAACCCAGGGCAGGATTCTCAGACTGAAAGAGGTGGGCAGGGTGAGGCAGAGGAAGCCCGGCTGCCCAGTGAGAAATACCCGCATCCCGCACTCACACGCTCCTGGGCCCCAACGTCCCGCTCCCGACCACCTACCCAGGGCGAGAGCCCAAACGTCCCGGGCCCGGGCCCAGCACGGCGCCCCAAGCCAATCACCCGGAGTGTGGGATCCTCACGGAGGGCAAGTGGAGCGCAGACGGGCAGCGGCTCGGCCACACCGGGGCCCCTCTCGCCGCACGTGCGCGCCCCGGCGGGCAGCTGGCGACCGGCGCTCGGTAAACACGGCACTTGCTGACCGGCTCGCGGGCCTCGCTCACCCCAGCGCCGCCTGGCGTCTGCAGCCGCGCTCGCCCGCCCGCCCTCTGGCCGCCCCCTCCCCTCCCCCACCCGGCCGCCCCCGCCTCGCCCGGCGGCGCCCAGGCTGCGGGCGCACCACGCGCTCCCCCGAGGGCCCCCGGCCGACAGCAGGCCAGACCCGGGGCGCACGCCGTTCCGGGGGGGCGGGGGGGCGCTGCCCGCGGCCGCTCGGGTCCAGCCCAGGCCCCGGGAGAGGCGGGCGGCGGGCGCGGCGGGGAGGGGAGCGCGACGCCAGGGCCAGGAGCGCCCCGCCGGCCCCCGGGACTCGCCCCCGCGCGTGAGCCGAGAGTGCCCGGGTCCCTGGTCCCGCCCGCCGCCCCGCGGCCGCCCCGCGCGCCCCCACCCCCCCGAGAGCCAAGCGCACCCCCCCACCCCCGGCCCTCCGGGACTGGGCCGCGGACGAGGGGGTGGCCCCACTTTGGCCACACTCACCTGGGCTCTGGGGGGGCGGTGGGCCGTGCCGCCCGGCGCGCTCCCTGGCTGCCCTCTGCCGGCCGCCGCAGGTACCCGGGCGCCCGCCCCGCCCCGCCCCGCCCCTCGCCGCCCCGGGACCTGTGGCCGCGCGCGGGAGAGCCGGGCCTAAGGGCCCCTGGTAGGCGCGGGCCCCTCCGCGCCGCAGCCCTCGCAAGGGCCCCTCCTTGTTACTGGATTCCGAACATCCCTCTTTTCCATAAGCAGCTTCAAGTCCCCAGAGCCAAAAATGACCCATTCTAACAACCCCAGGACGCAAAGGGAAGGCAGGTATGGGTTCTGGGGCCTGAAACAGAACGCGGCACCCGCTGGAGCTCAACATCGGTTTGTTGAATGAACGAACCCTCCATTGATGGTGGGACAAATGGAGGCAACGCTGCAGTGACTAGAGGAAACAGCGACAAAAAGCTAAAGCTTTCATCAGCCTGGTGTCTTGGCTTCACCATTTCAAGAACATCTGCAATGTTCTCCATTTTCCTTCACTCTGAGCCTCGGGGTGGGAGTGGCCATGCTAAAGCCCTTCAACCCTCCACTCTACCCCAAAACAATTTTATGAAATAATTCCCTGAGAGAACACCAGAAACCGGTAGTTGAGTGATCACCAAATCTGAGAGTCCTGGTTTCCAACACACAGCAGCCCCCTCCAGTACGGGGGGACACCTCCATTTGGGATCTGGATCTTCCCCATGGGAGATGTGATCTTGGCCATGGGAGCAAACGTCTCTAAACTAGCACTGTCCAGCAGGCTTCCCGCAATTACAGAAATGTCATATTGCTGGGCGGTCCACTAGCGAGTAGTCATAGGAGATGGATTCTTAAATTTCATTGAATTTTACTTAATTTAAATCTAAATCACCATGGTAGCTAGTGGCGAAGTCTCAGTTTCTTTATATGCAAAATAGACATAATAGTCCTATTGTGAGGATTGAATGACCCAAGACCTGGCTCATTGCAAAATCTCAGGGGTGCCTGAATGGCTCAGCTGGCCTAGTGTCTGTCTTAGGCTCAGGTCATGGTCTCAGGGTCCTGGGATCGAGCCTCCCTCCCACCCTATTGGGCTCCCCACTCAACGGGGAGTCTGCTTCGCTCTCTGCACCCCCCATGCTTGCTCTCTCTCAAATAAATAAATAAAATCTTTAAAAAATAAAAATAAAAGCTCAGTCGGAGTTATTAACATCATTTTCACCACCATCACCTCACTAACCCTAAAATGTCAAAGCTGCAGGGATCCTACAGGCTCTACCCCAGCTTCCCGCCCCAAAACCACCCTCCAGGAGTTGTTCTCCTGCTTGCAATGGCTTGTGACAGAGCGCTTACCATCTCCGGGGGGACCTCGTTTCTCTTTGGACTGCTGACCACCTGGAGAAGATTTATACCTAACACTTTTGTGTGAGTAGATTTTGGTGGACAACTCAAAGAAGTGTTGAGTTTCAAGAGTGCTCAACAGCCAAGGGTGAGGCCCAAGGCAGGGAGCTTCGAAAGAATCAGTGCCTTAAATTAGGGATGGAGCCTGCTTTTATTTCAAGCCTACACGTACTTGTCAGGTATGTTGGAAGATGCCCCACTACTGGGATTTGTCTGATGTTTTTCCACAGTCACAGTGGGCCTAGGGGTTTGGGGAGAAAGACAATAGAGGCAGGAGCCATTTTCCTCACATCTCATTCAAGAGTTCACAACTGTTGCCATAATTTATCACCGTTGACTGTTGGCCTTGATCACCTGGCTGAAGTAGTGTTCGTCAGATTTCTTCACTCCAAAGTGGGGTCTTATGTTCCTCCTTATTTAGGGTGGAGTAGCTACATAATTTATTTGGAATTCTTCTGTATGGCAAACTTGTCTCTTCCCCCCCGTGATATTGTGATAGAACAAGAAATACATATTTTGGTCTTCTTCCTAACTCCTGACCAGAGCTCCTAAAATCCTTCTTATTTCCTAGGTGATAAGAACAATAGGGCCATCTTCTGTTATAAAATGTAGGTTTTGCCCCAGGCTCCTGAAACAGCCCTAGAGTGATCAAGTGAGAGGAGCATCTTTTTTTATTCATAACAAGCCCCTTTCAAGCACACCTGAGCCTGTATTAATGAGTGACTTTTGGAAAACCCTTAAGGATTGCCCAAGGGATGGATGAGCCAGTTGCCAGGGGGACTAAACTGTGCTTAAAGGGTTGGAACTTTCAGCCCCGCCTCCGGGGAGCAGAGAGGGAAAGGGGCTGGAGACTTGACTTAATGGTCAACGGCCAAGGATTTTACCCATCATGCTGACAGAAGGAGGCCTCCACAAAAATCCTGACAGGTTTGGAGAGTTTATGGCTTGGTGAACACATGGACGGGCTGGGTAGGTGACGCCCCAGAGACAGCACGGAAGCTATGCACCCCTTCCCACATACCTTGCCCTATGTATCCCTTCATCTTGTTCCTGTGTATCCTTTAATAAATCCTTTGTAATAAATTGGTGATACTCCCCTCCTCCCCGCCAATTTATAACCAATCGGTTTGAAGCATGGGAGGCCCGGACCTGTGACTGGCATCTGAATGGAAGTGGGGATGGGGGAGGTGTTGTGGGATTGAGCCCTTAATTTGTGAAGTCTGTGCTACTTCTGGGCAATTAGTGTCAGAACTGAATTAAATTGTAAAACGCTCAGCTGGCGTCTGCCGAGAATTGAAGGCTTGCTTGGTGTGGAAAAACCCATGCATCTGGTGCCAGGAGTGTTACATGTCTAAAAGGGAACAAAGCAAAATTTTCCTTCAGTCGATGTCAGAAAAGTGGGATTGGCTGGAATGGCCCTGGCTCGTGAAAACGGTGTGCTTTGGGAAGAAAAAGAATCAGAAGGTGAGAGTGAGGAACTGTGGACTCCTAGGTGGTCCCCGATGGTCTGGAGCGGCAGCTGTGCTCAGTTACTAAAGGTAAATGTTACCAGTGGAATTTAGAGGTAAATCCAACTCCCAGGGAGTTGGCTCACAGGATGTATAAGGAAATGCAAACCAGTAAGAAAAAGGCAAAATACTCAGTCCTTCGGTTATTATCGGTAATAGCTCAAATGAAATTAAAAGCGAGTTCTGGGTTGGACTTTGATGCTAGACTAAGCTCAGATTTGGGTCTAAGTTTTGGTTACTAGCCTCGAAGCCCCCCCACCAAGGGAAAAAGTATGCCGCGACAACAGAAAGTACTTCTAAGACCTCTCTGGTCCCCGAGAAGGTAGTCAATGTAGGGGGGAGGGCAAAACTGAGAAACTACTGAAACCAGGGGGTATAGTGTGAAGGAGCGGTTACATCTTGTAGATCGGTATCATCAGCTGCCCGAGAAACCTTTACTAGAATGGATTATGAAAGTAACAAATTTGGGAGCTGTGTCCCTGGTTTTGAATGCTGCCTAGTGGAAGAGCACGCTTGGTGGATGCAGGACCCACAGGTCACTAGGGAACACGCACAGACTACTAGATACCTAACCCGGACACAAAGCGGCTTCTTCCCAAGGGAACAGCCAGCCTGGGGGACTCGATAAAAGCCACTGTGAGGTCTGTTTACCCTGAGAAGGGGACAGTCTGTGCCCCCCTATGTAGAGCAACCCCAACGAAGCAGCAAGGCACGGGGGATGCTTTCTGATGACCCGGATATTCACTACTGTATATGCCCATTACTCAGATCATGATAAATGCCAGGGTTAGTGGGGTGCCTTTTACATGGGCACCCCATATAACCTTACCACTGTAAAACTGAGGGACAATTCTGGAAGCCTTATCAAATTTGCTGCCTCAGCTTCCCCTCATGGGTCTTACTGATGCTAGTAAAAACATTAGGTGAATTAATGAGAGATGGGGGAAAGGCAAAGCCTAGACAGTGGTTTAAGTATGGTGGAAATTTTTAAATCGTTATTTAGAAATAAGGTGAGGGGTGCCTGGGTGGCTCAGTCGGTTAAGTGTCTGCCTTCGGCTCAGGTCATGACCCTGGGGTCCTGGGATCGAGCCCCACGTCGGGCTCCCTGCTCTGCGGGGAGCGTGCTTCTCTTCCTCCCTCTGCTGTTCCCCCTGCTTGTGCTGTCTGGCTCGCTCTCTCTCCCCATCAGATAAATTAATAAAATCTTTTTTTTAAAAAAAGGGTAATAAAGCAAATATTGATTAAAAGCAAAACAAAGAGGAAAAGTCATGGGACTCACCCAGCAGAGTGGGTATTAAGAAATGGTTGAATGAAGCAGACACTGATGGGGTTAAAACAAAGGTGCAAATAGATGGAGAACATAAAAACATGAGTGTTGGTAAGATTATGAAAGTGAGAATGTTTAAACAGGCTTTTATGTAAAGCAGTTGTGTCTCCTTGATGTGAAGGGTTTATGGGAATGAATATTATATCTGGCCAGGGAACACTTCTTCTACCTAGTATTGTAAAACCAAAGCCTGTTGATGGAGTCCTAATGGAAGCCACAGTTAGGAATGTAAGGGTTTGTAGAATTGGAACTAAGGCAAAAGTTTGTAGTTGGAATGTTTGAACAGGCTTTATGTGAACCAGTTACATCTATTTGCCTGATTATTGACGATGAGGATGTGTTAGAGCAGGCAGCTAGGCAGGCTTTAACAGGATGCCTGGGGGCCTGGAGGCCCGCTCCCAGGAAAGTTAGCAACCTGCCCTGACAGCATTCCACATCCGAGGCCACAAGAAGCCAGATCAAATTGGACCGGCCCCAGACAAAGGCCTGAGACTCTGACCAAGTGAGAAGGAGAAATCGCAAAACCCTGCTCCCACAGAAATCCCCTCCCCAAGTAAGAAATAGTCCACACCTTCGTGAAGGACCATCAATAAAAGATAGAGACCCAGACCCCTGGCACAGCTCTCCCTGGGCTCGCGCTCCCTCACCTCTCCGGAATGCCCTCTCTCGCTCTTCACCTGTGGTGCTCAAACACTGTCTGGCCCGTCCTTGAATTCTTTTCTCGCGACAAGAGTAAGACTCTCCGGGGATGTCTGGGGGCTGAGATCGGCAGTCGCCTCAGAACCTGGACATCTCCCCAGTCCACCCAGCAACAGATGGACGTTGTGTCTGACTAGGGAATGTTCCCCCTACCTGGGATTGTAAAATAGAAGGGATGTGAATCTG